AAATTCTTCTTTAGGATCACCAGATGATAATAAGACAAAAAAAATTGTTTCGGGACTTGACAGGACCTCCAGAGAGCTCATTTTTATGTGGAAAAGTTTTGGAGTTCGATCTTGCTGAAAATTTTACCATAGACGTAGCTTTTCTCGTAGAGTCTATCCTAAAAGTTTTAGATTTTTTCCTCATATGTTTAGAGAGATATTCACTAATTACTTCTTAATTAATTAACTAATTAGCAGCTGAAAGCGCTAACATTTTTACATATGTCTATGCTAAAAGAACTGATTCAGGAAAAACACTTTTGTAAAAAACCAAAGTCGGATGAAAGAGGGGTATGTCCCATTTTTCGTGGAATTGCTCATATGCATGTTTACATTATCTGACGAGAATTTGGCAATATTTGAATTGGTGACAAAAATGATGATTTCTAACAAAAAAAATGACCTTCAGGTCAAAAATGCTCCTTACCCTATGACAAGCTCAAAGTGACAGTTAGTCAGAACTAAATTAACGAGACCCATTTACAAGAAAAATGATCTTTTTCACCAGAAAGATAGGTTAGAATAGTGTTAAAATGAATTAGTACACAAGGAAAGAAATCTTCAGCAGAACAGAAAAGTCCACTGAAGGAAAGAAAATCATATTGTTCGTTACATATATCTAATAACGGGTGAGTCAGATTAAATTGCCGGTTTTTATCAACTACATTCGAATCAATTATTTAGTTTAATTTTCAAAACAAAATATAGCATTGAAGAGAGCAAATGAAGCTGCACAAATTCATATAGAGAGCTAATTTCAAATAAGCTTTTTTATGTTCAAAAATTTCAAAAATATCACATGATCAAAAACTGCTCCTGCTCACATATATAATTATTAGACAAGTCGTACGTGTCTTTTAATGCTCTTGTTGTGAGATTCGGTCGTTTGAATTTTCGGTCAGTTTAAGAATAGCGTCGCAAATATAATCACTTAACATGTTTATATCAATTATATGTTCATAGATAGTAGTCTTTCACAACAAGAAGCTGCAAGAGACAGACAATGTGTATAAACGTGAACTGACAAGCTATGCCAGTTTGGAGCATATCCTGTTTTCAAAAGTTCTAAACATGAAAGTACTTATAGCATATCAGTTTATTGTACGTAAATATAGATCTGTAGTTGCTATACGTGATGATGTACTTTGTTATAAGAGTAAGATTACATTTTACGTCAGAATGCAGTGCGTAAAGATCGTTAATTGGATCTATCATACTTCCTACCACTACTTTAACAGATGTACAAGCGAGCACGAGCAGTTTTTGACCATGTCATATTTTTGAAATTTTTGAACATAAAAAAGCTTATTTGAAATTAGCTCTCAATATGAATTTGTGCAGCTTCATTTGCTCTATTCAATGCTATGTTTTGTTTTGAAGGTTAAACTAAATAATGGATTCGAATCTAGTTTATAAAAACCGGCAATTTAATCTGACTCACCCGTTACTGTTATGCATGTGATTTTAGTAGTTGGACATTTTGTAGAATACAATAATTTATCTAGTTTAAATTTATCGAAATTTATCTTCTATGTATCGGGAATGTAATAGATATTGCGAAAGAAGATATCTTAAACCGAATAGAAAAGTCCGCTGAAACAAAGAAATCTCCTCTTGTCCATCAAATATATTTATTACATGTGGCTATCTAATTCTATAGTTGTGTCATGTTTCTTGTATGCATTTAAGTAAAATAAGTTATACGAAAAAAAAAGAATCTTTATCAGTATAAAAGAGTCCGTTGGAGACAGAAATCTAAATGCACACTGGCGATAGAAGAAATTGTGAACGTATGCGTTTTGTCCTTTGTTGTGATCGTATTAGGGATCTGCAAAATGACTTTTTTCAGTCCCGGTCCCGGTTCAAATTTTTTTCCAGTTCCAGTCCTGATTATATCTAAAACTTTCTGTTTTCACATATATCAAAACTCAGAATCGGTTTTTTCTTCAGGTTATACATGCCCTTCATGCATATCAGCTGGCACAGTACTATCTGAGGGTGAAAGTAATGTTTGCTATCTGAAGAAGTACCTTAGAATCTGCAAGACTAGGACTTCTATTTTTAGGACTAGTTCGGCAATTTTTTTTGCAAAATTATGTCTGTTTTATTTTTATTTTTCTATTCCCAAGAAGTAGCAAAATTTTTTTCAAATATACGTGAGTAAAACGGCAAAACTAAGCGATTCACATTAAGAATAGCAGAACAATGGTAAAATACTGTAGTAACAAGGGAATATTTAAATTGCTACCGAATCAAATCTAGTATATTATGTTTTGTATACTCGAAAACCTGCTCAAGTTTAAAAAAAACTCAATTCTTAGTAACAGAATCGTGATCTGTAAAAGACTTGTATCAGATTATGAAACGAAAACAGTCGATTTACAAATTTTTAATAAAAACAGAGTAAAAAATATGAAAATTTATAGTATAATACTTGATGAAAATAAGCTTACCGGGACTAGCCTGAAAAAGTTTTAGTCTCGGTCCCGCCGGGACCGGGACCACTTTGCAGTTCCCTAGATCGTATGTAAACGATATCTCGATATATATATATATATCTTCCGTACGAATGTATACCCAGAAAAGAGAGGAAAAAAACATTTTTGACCCGAACGACACTTTTTTCTGCTAGATATGAGCATTTTTCTCACCGATCAAAAAGTTGCCCACTGCTGAACTTAGAGTGATTGGATAAAAATTGTAGAGAAAATAAAGTTTGTTTTTTGTACGACTTTTATCCAATCATTCTAAGTTTCAACGAAACTCAAAATTATCGCACTTTTCATAAACAGACCACTTACTATACATAAAATGCATTATGATAGCGCGTAGTCTAATATATAAATGATGGCAAGAATCGTAAATTATTTTTCTATACACTTATACAGGCGGCATATTTTCAAAGTAGAAAGATTAGTGTCAGGAACGATGAAAACGTAGGAAATAGAAAATATATATTACTCTATACGTAACACTGATATAAAAACACTTTTATATGAAAAATGAAGAAATACTAATGCTTGTGTATGAAGACTACACGAAGTTTTTCTTGTGAACAGTACAAACCTAAGGTTTCTCTAAAGCCACCTGCTATTTAAGTTGATAAAAAGACTTTGACGTTCATAATTTATGTATATCAGTGATATATTTAATATTTTTAAAATTTGAGTTTTCGAAAATGAATCTCGTGTAAATTGCATTAACAAATAAACAACATGAAAGATCAAAAATATTTCACCCGTGAAAACAAGTAGTATAGTTAACGATGAATAATTAAATGACTTTCGGTAAGAACACAAATATTGATTAAAACGCTTTAAAATATTCAACTCATGAAAACAGAGACTAGATTTAAGAAGATTTAATCAGTTAGCTTTCGTTAAAAGTAGAAATATTCATGAAAATGTGTTAATACTTTTAACGCGTTGAAACGAATGCTATATTTAACAATGATTAATGAAATAATCCCAGTTAAAAATCAACTGACGCATAAAAATTCGTTAAAAAGTTTCACATATTTTGACAATCGCTTGAAATTTAACGATATTTTTCTCGTGAAACCCTGTTAAAATGTCATGTAACGCAAGTTTTGGCGTGAGTTTCAGCGAAAACAACGTTTAAATATTTTTTTAATTTTTCTATCGGATATATATCGATCTCTTGTCGTCATTTCATTCGTTCTTTATACGAATATTCATCTAGGTCTTCATATTGAACAATGTTATTCTGTCTATAAGAAATATCGAAATTCAAAAATAGACAGTTAGAAAATTAGATTAGACAAAATGTCGATTCGTACTGACCTCCTTGAACAATACCGTATGGCTCGAACGAAATTCAATACAGTCAATGAACAACAACAAACATTATATCATAAACGACAACGAATAATTCTTGAAACTTCACGTACAAATGCTTACAAACATAAACTTATTCAATCAAAACGACGAGAATGGTCTATATTTCGACGTAATGAAAATTATCGTTCATCTCTTCATCCAGTTCGTCTTTCGACAAATATTCGTAATTCATTTCAAGTAAATCAGAAAAAGCAGTCACAATCTTCGAATACCTCTTTTCCAATCATAGTCAATACATTACCTCCTCGAATCTATCCACCAACATTGAATATTCGATCAATATCATCAAAACAATCTTTGAATATTAATATTCTTCATCAAACTAATTTTCTTGGTCAATTCGATAGAAAATTTTTGATCAGCAAACGTCTTATCCGTTCATCAAATGTTAATCAAATACAATTAATTCTTTTCGATCAACATGCTATATCAGAACGTATTCTTCTCGAACGTCTTCAAACTCATTTTAAACAAGAAAATATTCGAACAATTCCTTTTCAATTACTTGAACCAGTTATCATTACCCGTAATCCACGTTTTCTCTATACAATTGAACAAATATCTTTACTTGAACGTACAGGCTTTATTTTCTCTTCTATATCAACTCATAATCTTTTTGTTCGAGCTGTACCTGGTTGGCTTTTATCATTAGGACAACGTCAATCATCAAGTTCTCTTCTCGATGATATTATTTATGATACAATCAATAATATTCTTCTTAAAACAAATAATTATTCAAATAATATCGAATTAATTATATATGAAACACTTAAATCATTAGCTTGTCATAATGCTATTAAATTTAATGATATGTTAACTAATAACGAATGTCATCATCTTATAAATGAATTAAAATTATGTTCAATGCCTTTTATTTGTGCACATGGACGAACTTCAGCTGCTGTTCTATGGGAATATGATATTATGTCTGAAACCTATCAAGTCGATATGACTGAACTGGAGCAACTTGCATCAATTCATAAATGGCTTAAAGAATCCTAATTGAATTTTTTATTCTAGATAAACTAACAGAAGAGACAAAAAAGAATCAACATGTACAATTTATACATAACAAAAAAAAATGAACTTGTTAATTTTTTTTCAAGGTTTGCCACCTGATGAAGTATTCATACCTTGTCTAAATAAATAAATATGTAAAATAATTTTATTTGAAATAGTTTTTATTTTTACCGAAGTCGTTCATCTTCTTGTTGTTGTCGTTCAATATTGGCAATAACAGTATTCATATCAATAAGTCGTTTTTCAGATGTTTTTGGTTTACCAACTAGAAATTAAGAAGAAGAAAAAAAGAAAAGTGTGATAGGATATAAAATATTTAATTACTAACCAGCTGAACGAAATGATGAAACAGTTATATTGTTTGATGTTAATGCATCATCATTATCAAATTCATCAATTTCATTCATTAATCTATGAATAAAAAAAAAAAACAAAAAGATAAATTTAATTCAAATTTATAATTTGATTTTACTTATTGTCTTCAGATTTTGAATTTGTTGATTCATCAGACTTTATAGGACTAATATTTTTTTCTGTATTTTTTTGTTTCTTTGTTCGATTCTTTTTACCTGGACTTTTCCAATCAAGTTCAAGAATCTAAACAACTAAATTTATTTAAAAAGAAAAGAAAAGATTTTTTATGCATACTTTTTTTTCTTTTATTTCATTATATAATCGAGCAATAACATCTGGAGGCGGTTCACCAAAATTCATTCTTACTGTCAATTTCAATCTGAAATTCCTTAAAGATTCATCGTACAAGCCCAAAAATAAAAACAAAACGTATATTTATTTCTTTTCAATGTACAAAAAAAAAAAAATAATAAATTATTGAATAGAACAGTTTTTTTTATCAGTTGAATGACCACTGTTATTTGTTGTTGTAGCCGTCTAATAGTTAAAAAAAAAGAGACAGAATGATTCAACTTGAATTATTAACTTTGGTATTCGTTTAGCAAGTGTTCTATCTTCTTATATGACATAATATCAGAAGATACGATACTTTTAGATCGTGGGAAACACTATCTTAAATATTCCCATATGTTCACAGTGGAACACTTGCTAAACGAATACTTTAATCTTAATACTTACAGTGGTTCGACGTCGTTGAGCTTCTTCTCGTTCACTTTCTTGTAAAGCTTTTGCTAAAAGATAATCATTTTCTTCTTGAGTTCTATGCAGAAAGAAAACAACAATAATGTTTATTAAGAACGATGTTATATGATGTTACTTTTGGTTTGATGATAATTTCATTGCTAATGCAATTGAAGCATCTTCATTATGCTGATTTTCTAATCTTTGGCATTTATGATCATCAGGAAATCGATGTCGTAAACAAAATGTTTTTAAACATTTCTCACATTTAACTTGAATCGCTTCACGTTGTTTACATGATGAAACAGAGCATTTATTTGTATAAACTTTTGCACGTTTTTTTAATGCTGGATCAGATTTACAATCACGATCTATATGAGCAGATACAAGACGATCAGGTGATTGATCACGATATTCATATGGAACAGCTTGATTACATAGAGGACAAATTGGTATTTGAACATTTTTACGAAACGATAATGGACATTGATGTTCGTCGTATTTTATATGATCTTTACTATGAAGAAAAACAAAAAACGATTGGTTGAAATTTAAAAAAAAAACACAAGAAATTTACCAAAAAATAGAACTACATGAATCACATTTCATAGGTAGAAAATCTAAAGAGATAAAAATGAATTTTAATTAAATGTATGAGAACAAAAGAATATACCTAATCGATTGCATGTTTTGACAGAACAATGTTCACCTAGCTGAGGAAGTTCCATATCTATGAATAGAATAGTCATCCAAAAGAATCACCTCTAGCGCCACCAGTCATTATCACGTGGCGCTGTGTAGAAAAAAATTATTAGAATTTTAAAAAATTTCTCTTACTTTTATTTTTAATTAATTTTTTTTTCTAAATAAAAACATTTCGTAACTCTTTTCTAAAAACAACAACAATAAACTATCCTTCATCAAAAGACTATAATACACTCAATATGGTTTCTACCATATAAAAACAACACATTTCGTCATTGTTCACGGAAAATTACTCAGGGTCATACATAGAAATTTCACAATCATTTCAGATTTTTGAAGAATACAAGAATGAGTTATAACGGTCGTGGCGGAAATAGCTATGGTTCATCTAGAGGTAAATTATCATCTAAATAAAAAAAAAAAGAAGATTTATATATATTTTTATTTATATGAAGGGTCATACGGAAATAATCGAGTTCATGGTAATGGTAAAGAACGTGATCGACATGGTGGTAATAGTTTACTTGACGATCTTGATTCATTTGTTGTCGGACCATTACGTCCTGGACCAGCTGTAATAAAAAATTTCTATTCAGAATCACCATTAATTGCAAATCGACCTCAAGTATAAAGATTTCAGACATATTTATTAAGTGATTAATTATTTTCTTATTCTTTTGAATAGCATGCCACAGATCAATTTTATGTTCAAAATGAAATGACAATACGCGGCTTTACACCTAAACCAATACTTTCGTTTGATGAAGCTCAATTTCCTAGTAAAATTCATCTAGAGATAGAATTCTTTTTTTTTTGCAATTGTTAATTTCTTTCTATAGGTTCTATTCGAAATGTCGTTCATCAACTTGGTTATATTCGACCAACACCAATTCAATCACAAGCTTGGCCGATTTTATTAAGTGGCAATGATCTTGTTGGTATTGCCCAAACAGGTTCCGGAAAAACTCTATCGGTAAGATGATGTCTATTATATCATTTCTAATATTTTGTTGTGTTATTGTTTAGTTTATATTGCCTGCATTAGTTCATGCTGCTGGTCAAACAAACGCACGATCAGGCGATCCATTAGTATTGATTCTAGCACCAACACGTGAATTAGCACAACAAATTCAAGTAGTCGGCGCTGATTTTTGTGCAGCAACAAATGCACGTAGTACTTGCATATATGGTGGTGCACCAAAACCACCACAAAAACGTGAAATACGTTATGGTATCGAAGTTTGCATTGCTACACCAGGACGTTTATTAGATTTTGTACGTGAAAAAACTATTAATCTTGATCGAGTTACATTCCTTGTTTTGGATGAAGCTGATCGAATGCTTGATATGGGTTTCGAACCACAAATACGTAAAATTGTCAAATGTATTCGAGTAAATATATATTTTGTTTTATATTTAATTTAAAAAATAAAATTATTTCAATGAAATTTAGCCTGACCGTCAAACAGCTATGTTTAGTGCAACATGGCCAAAGGAAGTACAAAAATTAGCGACAGATTTTATGACAAATTGTTCACATATAACATTGGGTAAAGCAATTTTAAATGCTAATCAAAATATTCATCAAATAGTTGATGTTTGTGAAGAATATGAAAAAGAATCTAAGTAAAAAAAAAAAATTTTTTTTCAAAGAGAAATAAATATTCAATTCATTGATTTTTTTAATTAAATAGATTAGCAAAAGTTTTAGCAGCTGTTATGCGCGATCAAGATTGTAAAGTGATCATCTTTGCTCAAACAAAAAAACGTGTAGATGATTTCTTTTTTACTATTAAACGTCTTGGTTATCCAGTTTTTCCCATACATGGAGATAAACGTCAACAAGAACGTGATCGAGTTTTACAAGGTTAATTAACGAAAATAAATAGTCTTTAAGATTTTTATCTTTTTGATTTTAGAATTTCGAAATCGAACTCGTGTTATTCTTATTGCAACTGATGTTGCTGCTCGTGGTTTAGGTATGTTATTATCTTTTATTTCTTCCAACAAACAAGTTCATTCATTGTTATTACTCTGTCTCCATTTATTTTCTTTTTTTTTTGTTATTGTTGCAGGTGCGTCTTGCGGCAGAGGCGTGCCTGCACATGTCATTGCTGTTCTACAAGCATACAGACAGAGAGATAAAAAGAAAAAAAATCGGGTTAACATCAATATATATATATATATATATGATGAGTGTTTAAGTATTGTGACATGACGACGGATACAAAATTTCATTATGATTGTGCTAAGTCATATCGACGTTCGGCGTGCCGATCTCCTATGTTATCGTATTGCCTTCGAACGGATGGATAAGAAACTCGTTCGATACCAATGCGTACACATAATATAATACATCGGCGGTCGTTGAACATCTCGGACTTGGCACACGGTAATAATTTCATATTTATTTATTTTTTTTTGTTTTTGTTTTTTTGTTTTTCATGCCTCAATCAGATTAGCTTAGCAAAAAAAAAGAGGGGCATTATATTTGTTTCATGAGGAAAAAAAATTCTTTTTCATGTCGTCATGCTCGCAGATGTTGACTAATTGTTAGAGAGAATATTAATTAATTTAAATATATACATTAAGATGTCGAAGATGTACGTATTGTTATTAATCTTGATTATCCACCACAAACAGAAGATTATGTACATCGTATTGGTCGTACAGCTCGTTCAGGTGCTAAGGGTACAGCTTATAGTTTTTTTACCCGTGAAAATGGCAAACAAGCACAAGAATTAATACAATTATTGAAAGATTCAAATCAAGATGTTAATGAAAAATTATATGATATGGCGAAAACAAAATATTTTGGTGGTAATTCATCTGGTCGTGGTGGAAGTAGCTATCGAGGAGGTATGTAAACTTAGAAAAAATAAATTTTGTTTTTTTTAAATTGATGTGGTTTGCTTTTTAGGACTTGATCGACGAAACGGTGCTGGTGGATCACGTAATAATGATCGAAATGGAAATAATTTTAATAATAATAATAATGCTCGACCAAGCCGTTTTAGTAATAAACGATCACGAAGTCGTAGTCCAGCACGTCCATCACGTTTTGATAATAATTCGCATGGAAATGATTTTAAACGCCCTCGAACAGATAATTCTCGTCCTTCACATGTAAGTTATATAGATATAAATATTTTTCTTATTCTCTATTAAAATTTAAATTTAGGATGAATCTCTCCGAAATCCTTATGCATCATCAACAAATGGTAATGCTATGCATTCCCAACGACCACATCAAAAATCTCAACCAAATGGAATAACAGTACCATCTCATCCTCCTCCATCATTGTCATCATCATCGACAAATAATCCTTATGGTGGATTTTATAATCAAATGACATCATATCCACCACCATCAATGTATCCACCAAGTTATCAAATTTATGGACAATCAACACAACCACCATTACCACCAGGTCCACCACCATCATAAATAGATCAGTTTTGTTTTTATTAACTCAAAGCTTTTATGATGAGATATGACATAGTGTTTTTTGTCTGAAAATTCGTCTTATTTTCTTCTATCATTTTTGTCTCGCGTTCATATATATAACGGATTAATTTTCTTTTTTTTGTTTGTTTGTTTGTTGTTTCTCGTTTGTTTTTTTCTTTTTTTGGTGTATAATGAAAAGATAACTGTGGCAGCATGACTTTGATTAAATATGAAGCAGATCTTTTAAGACTATTTACATTAAAGTAAAATTCCACAAGAAAATTTTCATATTAAAATTTAAGCAAAAGTTCTTATAACAGTAAATAAACATAAAAAAAGAGGTATTTTTTATTTTGCTGTTATTAAAATTTCAAAATAGTCCACGTGATTAGCGTTCCGTCTAACGATAAGTTGAACTGTTTTTTTCTGAAAATATTTTTCGCTTTGTTGTAATTCACAACCGCTCAAGATCTCCTGTGCAGAAGATAAACATTTTTTATTAGTCTGATCAATTAAGTTATGCTTGATTTAATAATTTCGTCAAAGGTCACCTAGTGCAAAATGTGTGTAAATGACATTAAATCGATACTCAAGCAGAGTTTCGCGTGGGATGGGAAAATCCCATCTCATAGATTCCATAGCATGTAATTCTTTGAAGATATCCCATGTCCCATGAGGTCAGGTGAAAATTGTTTTGAAGATCGTCAAATGAGAAAAAGAAGCTTTATGTAAAACTGTTCTGTTGCTAAAAACAATATAGCTGCTTTGATATAAATCTCGTACTCATCTTTTCGACAAAAACAAATAAGAAATAAAACTTTTATAGAGGTTCAACGACTGTAATAATTATGACGCGATATAACAGAAAATGATGATGCACCAACAGATCAAGAAAGGATGGAGCTCGATTTTTTGTAACAAGTGATTTGATTCTGTTGTTGCTGACTGCTCATAAAATATCTCTCAATAGTACATCCTCTATTGTTGAAAGTAGACTTTAGCAATTTCAATAAGTATTCGGAGCTAAAACCGTAGTTCTGGTTAGTAAAACTGAAAACAATGGATCTAATTTTAAGAAAAAGCAATTTATTGAAATCGTAAATGAAAAAAAGAGAAATCATATTAATGTGAAATAATTACATGAAACTTTTTATGATATAAATTAATTGATGTCATCGTTTTCTGTGTCTTTTTCATGATTATCAAAATGAAACTTGATATAATCTGCAATTCTTTTTGAACTTCTTAATTACTACTATTCTTGTATCAATACAGTGTTCTTGAGTACAATGCAAAACTATTCATAATGCGATTTCACATACTGATAACATTAGCACGCAAAATCTCAAAAAAGGAATATGAGTATTATAAATGGATGCTAACTCGTAGTTCAAGTGTAAATGAATAAGTTATTTGTTTCGTAGCTTGCATTATAAGTACGATTCAATGTAGGGAATGTTTGAAATTTTCGTTTGTGTATAAATCACAGAATAATAACGAAATATAGATAATACCAGTTGTCATTAAAATTTTTCATTTTCTCGGTTCCACCTTTTTTGGAACCGCCGGGTTCTAGTTGAAAGTCAATATTATCAATGTAACTCAATAAGTTCGACCACAGTTTTGTCTTCTATGATCACTTCTGTCTCATCTTATTCTTCCGATTCTGCATAGATGTTAATGAATATGTAGATGAATCAGCCACTCGCTTGTTGAGAAGGGAAACATCGAACAATACGACTCTGAAGGATTCAAACAGTAATTCATTTTCCCAAAGGGAGTATTTCAGTATCTTAATCAAAAAATAAAACAACGAAGAAGAATTTGAACATATTTCAAACTTTGTTAGTTGTCAATAATGATGTACAAGTTGTCAGACGGGAATAAGTATGAATTGACCGGTAAGAATTCGAATAAATTTCGTCTCTCTCTAAAGCTATTTGACGATTGAAATATCCTATGTCTCATTTTTAATAACTTGTCGTATTAGTTCAATATTCTTTTTCCTGTAGCTTAGAAAATGAATGACCATATTGATAATTATCATTGATGTGTTTTCTTCCTTGTCAAAAAATTTGCTGATCTTGCACTTTTTGGACTTAATGAAACATTAAGTTACAATATTGCTTTAAATTTTTCATGAATTTTCTTTGCATCAATTCCAGAAATATCGTAAATTTTCATATACTATCAGTTAAATTTATTATTCATTAAATTTTTGTTTCTAATTGAAATTGAATTTTATCTAAAAGAATACAAGAACTTACTAAGTGCCTTATGATATTATTAGCACAGTTCGGAGAAGTTTTAGTTAGTCTTCTATGTAACTTGATGATTAATAAAATATGAACTAGGTTATATATGATAGAAAAGCACTGTTTATCCACATCCGAACTGTCAATAATTTATGTTAATTATATTCTCATGAACGAAATGATATGAGAAGAAAGAAAGGCATGCATAAAAAAACAAGTCTGTATTTATCCTATAAAATGGCCGTGCAAAATAGTAGTTCTACGATGAAAATGTGTGGAAACGATAATTGTTTTTATCAGTTGCCGGAGATTTTCTTTTTTAGTATAAACAGTTTACGATTAAAACGACGCGTCAAAAAAATCTTCTAATATGACAGTCAACTATAATTAGCCACCGTCTGAGAAGATGTCTTTGATAAGTGTGCAAAATGAATCTCCTATTCATTATGTGAGTGTTTCTCTTTTTGTCTCGTAGCATTTTATTTATGAATGTATCACTAATACAAATTATTTCCCATTATCCAATAAAAAATATATTCCTTTCAAAACATATTTATCGAGAGATATAAATGTCGATATTTTCTGCTGTCGATTTTGCATCCTATGTAACATTGTTATAATGTTCAAATTTACTGTTATACGTTACTAGATATTCTGCATTTCAGTTTTTGTGTGTTATAACAAATATCAATTCAATGTATCTCGATAATATCCTATCGTATTGCTAAGGTAGGAATACAGTTGCTTCAGCCGAACTCGGATTGGTACATGCCGAATCCCAAAGTATTTTATCTTTTCGTTGAGGTTGTATATTTTCAAATATTTATTATGATTCATGAGAAAAAAACGCTTTTTTTTCACTATTACAAGCAGCAGTTAAATAATAAAAGAGAATTCTTCAAAGAAAATTTGTTCATTATTCGTCGCATTAAAATCAATTTCAAAATGAATAGATCGTCTCAGATCCGTAAATTTCCGCTCGGAAATGATCCGTATATTTTCTTTCCATAAATGTGCAAAGCAATCATTGAAACAAATCATCTAAGCATTTTTCATACCTTATTTTCTAGTTTAATTAGTCTGCTATTTCTTTTTTTTATATAGCATAATGTTATCTGTACATTTAAAAAAGCATTCACAAGACATACAATATATCCCGTAATATATCACGGTAAGAGAACAAATAATTTTGCTCATGGGTTTTTCGTCATTACATAAACATTCAGAAGAAAATGAAACCAAAAAAAAAAAAATTTAACATTACATACAGACAATAAGCCGAAATAAGCATACAGAACAAAGAAAAACCAAAAAAAAACTACATTCTACAACAGTCCATCATGCACATATTTTTACTGTAATAAGCAATTATTTCTTCGCACAACTCTAACAATGAGTGTGTTGATATAACGAAAAACAAATAAGAAAAGAAAAAAAAAACAAGAAAAGAAGTCTACCATTCATCAGAAAGTACATTTCGTACACGAACTACATCCGACCACATATTATCACGCATTGACCATAGGGCTTCATGAACATTATTATAAAAACCGGGGCTATTATTTATTAGCCAATGTGATGGTAATGATCTTGATGGTATATTTCCGTTATTACCAATAGATGCTTTTAATTGTTTAGGCCAGTCGGATATGAATGGGTAATCAGTTTTAAGATGCTCAATATACTTTGAATACATTTCTGAATGAACGACTCTTTGTATTCGTGGTGGACAATTGACAATTGCAGCTGCTGGCGGTTTTATAACGACAGGAAGAACATTATTCATTGGATAAACATCTAAAATCATTTATAGATGTAAACGTTTCGACTTTTTTTGTCTTTTTTGTTCGAAAATAATAAAAAAACAAAACATACTTGAAACATTTGGATAATATCCATTTATTGCTACTCCACCATTAATTATTCGTTGTGGATTAATAGGCGAATCATATGTCATAGGATTATTTGATACTTGTTGTGTATCTTGCTCTCTTGCACGTTCACGTGCTTTTTCTTCATATTTTTCACGCTCATGTGGCGATAATCGTCTCCACTAGATTAATTATAATTTAAAAATAAATTTAACATTTGAATTTAAAAAAATAAATATTTACCTGATCACCAATTATTCGACTCATTTCACCAAATGGAATACCTGGATTATCCCGTATCAAACGTTTTCGTGATTCACTTGCAAATATAAGATAACCACAAGGTGGACGTGACGATGATGCACGGCGATTACTTTTCTATTTACAAAAAAAAAAAAAAACTTATAATAGAAGAAAAATTCTTCACGAGGCTAGTCCATCAACTGATTAATCGCTTTTGACTCAAGACTATTTGCTTCATGTAGATCCTAATGAGCTATGAATACCTTGAAAAACGTTCGTATCCTTAGCTTGTAATTTTGTATAGAGATAAGTCTTAACAAGAAAAGTTTATTGTTAAAGATTCAGATACTTTCGTTGTGTTTATTCTAAGGTATAAGCATGGTAATAGCATGTATTTTGCATTGCTCATATAAACTAACAGAATGGACGTTTTTATTGCAGGATAGTAGCAAATCAAAAGACTTAAAACTTTTACAAAAAAACTATTTTCGTTAAGGCTTGTCTCTACTCAATGGTTCAAGTGAAAGTTCGGAAATCATTTTTTCTGTTACCATGACATTCATGTAAAATATACTGTACAAGTGTAGTAAGCTAAGATCTCGAAGGTACACCGACAATTGAGCACCCGACAGTTGAGCCCCGACAGTTGAGCCCCCAACAGTTGAGCCTCCCGACAGTTGAGCCCTCATTGATTAATTACGAAAGAAACAAAGTCAGTATTCGATCACTTTGTTCGACTCAAAATTAGTGAACAGATACAAGTCACATCTTCCTATGAGATTGATGAATCGCTATTAAATACTTTCATAGCTCAATCAATAATCTTTACGAAAACAAATAAGTTTTTCGAATTATATTTCTTTTTTTATCTATTCTCCATTACTCTTCTATCTTATTCTATTATTATTATACAATGTCTTTTCCAAAATCTCCAAAAAACAAAGATTAACTTGTACTTGACGGATTTTGTTACCGCCTTGGCAATAAATCTCAAANTTTTTGGATTAGTCGAAGAAGTTGATGAACGACGAGATGATGAAGAAGAAGACATAATAGAATCTAAAAATAAATAGACCAGCGTAGTAAAGATTCTATTAGTATTAGTATAAAATTATATGTTATTTATGGTTCGTTTGTTCTTGAAAAGAATATCGAAAACATAATCTTCTCATAGGAAATGCTGTAATTAACATGAGCAACAAATGAAATGAATGGAAATATAATTTTATACATATTCATTCGTTTCCTGTGCGTACTATAAACTAGAATTCTGTCGAGTAGGTTCAAAATCTGAATCTGGTTCTGAAAATTTTCTTCGGATTGATATCAACTCGATGGGTACTACTCTTAAAATAAAAACTAATAATTTCTTAGGTCCTATAAGATTACCGTCAATATTACCTGAAAAATCTGTAGGGTATGTCATTCATCGAATAGAAATAATCACAAAAAAAAATTTGACGCATGCAAAAACGACTATCACCCTAGCATGAAAAATTCTAGTGACAATATTAAAAGTATGGTTGAGATCCTGTTCTATTCAAAGATTTTAAACCTAGCAGGCTTCACTACAAATAGGTTTTTCGTAGTAATAGCTTTTAAAATATATGTTTACACTTTCAATAGTCAAAAACAAAGCAATACCAGTATATTTAATATCTGTAAATGTGTACATTAAAGAAAAAAAAAACGAAAAGATCTTCATACATGAATAAAAGATTAAAAGATCAAAAAAAAAAAACAAATCCACATATACAACATAGAACATGACTAGTTCAAAAAACTATTTCTTAAATACAAAAAAAAAATAAGAATACGATAATTTATGGTTGAATTGCTTGAATATTTGTACGTGGGAATCGTGTTAATGTCATTTGTTGTTGTTCTTCACATGAAAGAAATAATTCTTTTAATGCAATATAATCTTTTATTCGTGTTGGCAATGGTAATAATGATGTTTTTTTCCATAATCGTTGTCCTAAACATGAACGAATTCGAAGACGACATAATTCTTTTAGATTTTTAGCACGTGTACGTTCATTCCAAAGTATACGTTCAATTTCAGGATATTTTGCTAATTGTTTAGCAACACATGGAGTTGAATAAAGTTCTTCAATATTTATTGAACAACCACATTGAACAAGAAGCTTGATATTTTTTAAGTTTTCATTCAAAATTGCTAACATTAAAGCATTAAAACCTATAGAAAATAATCGAGAATAAAACTTTCAGAAGCCAAAAAACGAAGTTTTTTCTTCTTCTTACCATCACGATCACGTATATTTAAATCACATCCATGTTTAACCAGTACTCGTAATACTTCATCATGATTTCTTGCTGCAGCAACATGTAGAGCAGTCCAACTACGTGTACATTCATTTAAATCACACCCACCCTCGATAAGAATTTCTGTTAATGTTGAATTATTTCCACAAGCCGATACAAATAATATAGTTTCATTAAATTGATTTCTTCCTTTATATTCAATACCAGCTTTTAAAAACATTGTTGCTATGTCTTTATGACATTTCCAAACAGCTAAATAGACAAAAAAGAATTGAAAGAATAAAAATAAAGTTTTTTCGTTGTTTTGATTACCAAGATCAAATGCTCGTGCTGTTCGTTTATCTCTTGGTACACAGCCACGACTAAGAAGTAGTTCAACAACTTCAGTAAGATTATATAATGTGGCAAGTTCAAGAGATTTAAAATCATTTTTAATAAAATCTATATCACTATTATATATAATTTGTTTGATTTTTTTTACATCTTTTCGACGTATTGCTTCATGTAAACATTCACGTTTTACTGAATGATGATTACCCATTGATGTTAAAATATATCAATCATTATTGAAGTTTTTTTAAATTTTTATTTCATAGTTTTATAATGAACATTTGTTGATTTCATAACATAACATTGTGTGTTAGTAAATGTTTATTGTTGATTTTTGTTTTTGCTTGCGACGCAAAAATAGAAAAAAACTATGGTTTCATTATCTATAGATGTCAGACAACATCGATTATAGAAGCGCAAGTTAGAGACTAAAATAGCTTCCAGTACAAACTTGTATTCATGCTTTCTCAGTCAGCATGTTGATCAACAGTATCGTGTTTAGATGCTTCAATATAATCACAGAAACAAATAACTTTCCGATTATAAAAGAATTAAATGATGAACAGAGTTCTTCTTTATTGATTATTTTATCTATTCGAATACATTTTGATTTTTCTAACATTACTTTTAACATATCGAGGTCGACTAATACAGATATTAGTGTTTTCACCGGGGGTTAACCTCAGAGTGCATGTCAGCGGTTCTTATTTTCCTGTAAACTTGGACACAGTAATTCAGCATCGTATGCAATGCTGTGTCTTCAGTATAGGCCGTCGTATATGTGCGCGATAACCTCATCATGATACGACCGTACTTCTATGCCAAATATTACAGTAGAACATGGTCTATTTGTGTGTCGTAAATTAATCGTAAACAAACCATATCGTTTGACTTGGGTATCATAAAATAGAAGATCTAAATGAAACTCATAGACAAATGGTGTTGATAATCAATAGCAAAGATCAGTATAAGAATCATAGCAAGGAAAATTTATTGGTTCTTTTTTTAATCTTTTGAATACAAACAAGAGATTCCATAATTTTTATTGATATGTTGAAAATAATCATGTTGCAGATTTGCAGAAAATGATATTTTTGCTTGCAGAGATTATAAATAGAGATAAGATTCTCATCGATCGAGGCAAATAATATATAATGTTGTAAACATTAAACTAATTTCGTTGGTGTAATTCTAATTGTCAGGAACACATGGTCTCTGTAATTTTCCTTTGAATAGATTTTATCAAAGGCGAACGAGACTTTGAACAAAAACAATATTTGCTGATTTTATCTATTAATATTGAAATATGTCAATATTTTGACAATGAAATATATAAATTTTTTTAATGCTATAATATATGATCAAAAGCAAAATTTTTTGTGAAAGTTATGCAATTTTATATAATGGAACAATCTTTCTCCTCAGGATGTAATAATTCTTTTGGAGTACAAAAGAATCTTGTTTTTTTTTCAAAAGAATAATGTTCAAGATTTCTTCATACTTTATTTTCAAACGCAAACAAAATACAGAGAAAAGCGAAGAAAAAACAATAGAAAAAGGAAGGGCAAACTAATCACCCAATTAGATCGAGTTTCCGTTCCTAGAACAATGTAGAAATCATTTCGTCCTTCACTCGAGCTTCCACTGCCATTCATTGACTATTCATTATTGTCATGGACAGTGAGGCTTCCAGGTCTTGCATCTGAGCTTTCAACAGCTTCCCATTGGCTTCGACGGTTTTCATCGCTGTTACCACTGTCTTCCGTCATTCGTATACTTCACCAAATATTCTGCTGTTGGCTGTTGATAACGTTATTGATGGAACCGATAACAAACAGCAATAAAAACAATTCGTTACAAAGCAAGCAAATTCAAAGTGGGCACTTAGAAATAAGTTATTTCTTATTTTTATTTTGTTAGTGATTTCTAAACTATGCGTACCAAAATTTAGACTATTGTCTGTTTCTTTGTACATTGCAGTTGAGTTTTTTATATGTTTCACAGAACGAGCAGAGTAAATGATCTGACTCGTGAGTGAAGAAAATTTGTGATGAAGAAAGCAATGAACTAAAATGAGAAGAACAATCATCAATAAAGAATTGTCATTCTGCTTTTCTTCTTTTACTCATTGTTCTTACGAGTAACATGAATTAAAGATGACGCCAATTAGTACACACAATGGCTATGAAACCAGAATGAAATATTCTATTATTTTCTGGTAAAACAGCAGAGAAAGCATTTGAGAACAAAAAGTTTGTATGATTGAAGATAACCGTACAAATATATAGATAAAATGACTTACCAATGTTACACCTGCAGCACTGGACTAGCCACATGTCTTGGGTGTGGGTGTGGGCTACCTTTCTGCATAAAATAATACGCACTTCTCCTGAAATCTCAATATAACAAGCCCTTTTTAGTAGTCATATACTCTTTTTGTTTTCATATGCTCTTGCTTTAATACGACGTAGAAGGGTTCATGAAAATTTGTGCATGAGCCAAAGATTTATTATTCTACTCTTTTTTTTACAGTGATATCCGGTAATCTCATCATGGTGCGGGCGTATTCCTGCAGCAAATATTACGACAGAATATTGTACATTTCTGTGTAATAAATTAATCGTAAACGGCTATATACTGACTATATCCTTCGACCTGTGAACGGATGAAATTTGTGATAATTTATAGGTTCATAAGTAAGAGATAAAAGTGTCTCTTGTAAACAGAAATCAGATATTCGCCTAGAATTCGAAGAATATTGATTCTAGTTATTGTATAAAACTAAATACGATGTCGACTAAAAAGTCAACGTATGATTGCGTGGATTTAAGTACATGGACAAGGCGCGGATCACTGTTAAATATCAGTCAATCTTTACCTAGACATCAAAATACTTGTTTTTATTTTTAATCGATAGACATCTAAACCTACAAAATCATTATTGATCGCTGATAATTGAAGTGTACAGTCAAATGGAATTTAAAAAATGCAATAATAGTATGAATAGTTGCAATTAAACTACTTAGGTTTTAGGAATATCACTTTCACATTACTGTTCTTGGAAACAGGTACGCATAACAGCCTCAAAGAGACAGATAGTCAAAAATATATGAACATGTTTGTATATTTCAAATTGCCAGAAAACAAAGGTTGAGAAGTTCTCTCATTCATTGAGAAGAGAAATTTCTGAAACAAAAACACTGACAGCCGTACTGCCTACTCAATAGTTTAGAATAGAAGTGGTAGATACGTAATCAGAAATGCATCCAATTGATTGAAGGATTATCAAGACGGGAGAACTACGCCAAATCGAATGTATTCACACCATTTTTCTGGAGAAAACAACAAATAGTGAGCGTTAGGAAAACATTTTTCTTCTTCGTTAACTTGGATACGTCAATCATCAGAATGAAGATCTGTCTACTGCACATTTTC